ATTATCATTTCTACTTGTTTCATGCAGATGCAAGAATCAACACAGAAATGATCGTCTCATCGTGAGACATTGAATGGCACACACTTTGCAAACAGTTTTCAGAGTTTGTTTTGTTACAATCAATTCACATCCGCAAATGCAATTAAAGTCTTATGTAATTAAGGAGTTACTCGTTTGACAATCCGACACGCTTATAGGATTATTCTTCCTGGCCATTTACTCACTGATTATGTTCATGATTTATCTGAATAATCTGACCTTTTTTTCTTGTTCATTTGTACCTTCGTCTCCTTGAAAAGACGACATATCATCAACTGATGTTTTCTTTTCTCTCTGACTTCAAAAATTCTACTCCAAATTTCTATCTTCTGGGTAAAACATAATTTTTTACTATTAATCACTCTTTTTAAATTTAAATAGAGAACTGTAAAATGGTAGTAAATATTTTTATGGGGAGTATATACATCTACCTTCTATCTTTTTTATCTGAATTTTATTGAATGCACTTTTAATCAGACTTTACGCATGTGAGAGTAAACAGCACAAAATTGGAAATAAAGGATAAAGACACTGTGAGATTCAAGCACACGTATCTTTTCCTTATGGAAATCCTGATAAATTCCCATCTGCTTCAAAACTAGGCTATGAGAACTTGACGGCTGTGAAAAAAAAATCTGTTTGTTTATTTAGCCACTGAAAATTTCCAGGTTTTCCAAATTTCTAATTATAGTATTCTTTCTAACTTTACACTAATCTGAGGGTTGTTTAATTTTGGTTTTTGTCTTTGCATTAAAAAAATCTTATAATCAAGTCTAATTGAACACGTGTGAATGATTTTCAATGTGCAGGTGGTGTAATGGTTAAAAATTCAGAAACAGAAATTGGTGAGCAAGTTCAATTCCCAACGTTTTCATTCACTTCATACATTCTCCAGCTTTCTGGTAGCAATCAGTTTGGAAGAAGAAAAACTCAGGATAGGCTCCATCAGACTATCTTGCCCTAGACACACCATCTGCTGCTATGGCTGCTGCATATATGGCACCACTATGATTTTAATAGGTTGCAAGACTTGTGACATGATATGTTGAACAATATGGGATCATGAAATAAAGAAAGTTCCCAGAAAATATTCGGCAAAATAATTTTTTTCTGTACATGTGCATGTGGTGTGCATGTTTTGAATACAAAGCATTGAACAAGAATTGATCCTCATTGGACTTTAGGGGCCTAAGGAGTTTGTGTGTCACGGTTGGATAGGATAGTGTTCCATTATAAAAACCATTATAGCTGCAGGCTGACATGCAAGTCAATATCTGATCAATATTGACTGGGCTGCCATAGATAAGAGGTATGATGCCTTAAGGCTCCTGAATGATCCATGGCTAAAAAACGTTACTGATGTTGTGTGCCAGAGCATCTGAGAGACATATTTCACAAAATGGATGGCTGTCCTAGAAGAGAAGATAACAAATCTGATAAATTTGATTCCTGACAGAAGAGAAACATGAGAATCTGACAAAAGCAAACCCACTAAATTTTAATCTGCATGATTGTTGAGCTGTTTTGATAGATAAAAAAAGATTCTGTTGAAAAAAATAAAGATGTTTATTTATTTCTGTCATTTCACTTGAACAGCAACAATTTAATTAATAATAGATGCTGTGTTATTTGAGATTCAAGACTGGCTTAAGAGATTTTAAGCAAAAACAGAACCAAAAACCAGCATTTTATTTGTGAGTGTTGCAGTTAAGATATTTGCTCCGGATGGAAACACCTGCCAAAAAAAAAAAAAAATGGATGTTGTCAAGTTTCAAGGAACTATGCAATTTGTAGAAATCTGAGAAATTGTTTTCTGTGGATTGAATTTCAGCAAAAATAAAAATCAAAAATCTTAAATTTTAAATTGCATTTTCCTTTTCATATATGAATATGAGAATTACAAAAATTTCATATATATATATATATATATATATATATATATATGAAATAAAAGGGGAGAGAGAGAAAGAGAGATAGAGAGACAGAGACTGATGCACTTCCTAAAACCCTAGATCAAATGATCAAAACATTTAATTCTTTTATTTTTTTTGCAGAGAAGAGCTTCTTGCTTGAGCAAGAACAATTCAATACCACCTCATATATATATATATATATATATATATATATATATATATATATATATGAAAATATAGTTTTTTATGGGTAAAAGTTCCCAATATCAGGGATAGAGTGTATGTAAATATAAAAGTAGAAATATAATTAAATATAAAAAAATTGCATGAAGATTGTATTCAGGCACTAAACTTAAGCTTGTCAGCTCTTGGAGTTGACCTAAGTGTTGACTTATATATATATATATATATATATATATATATATATACACACACACAGACAAACATAGAGAGAGAGACATTGGGGGAGAGAGAAAATAGGTGAAATAAAATGTTAAATAATTCATTCGGTCATCAGAAGAAAGTAAATCCACCAGCTTCTGAAAGATTTATCTTCATCCTGAATTGAAGATGCTTTCTTACCTATCTACTTAATGAAAACAAGATGCATTATCAATAAAAAAGCTTTACCATTTTGCCTGAATATATATATATATATATATATATATATATATATATATATATATATATATATATATATATATATATATACACAGGTGTATTAAAAAATACTTGTACAAAATTTTGGGGCAGGTTGCTCAAACCAAAACAAGAACATAAATCTATATAAACATATGTCTGTAAATCCTTCATTTTTGAGCTATTAAGTTTAAAGGAAGTTTATGGTAAATGATGCTGCCTTGCCATGTTTAACGTGTGTAGTAGTGAGTTAACTGAGAAATGTTCATTTTTCCAACACCAGGATATTCTTATCGTGACCAGACATAAATGATTTTTACATGCAGCCATGTGAATGGTAATGGATGCGAGGCTCCATGGCTGAATCAGATAGCATTTTCCAAGCCAAAGAGTCATCCAATATTCGTAAGGTTTTGTTTTGACCATTTTCTTTTATTTTCTTAAAATTATTAAATAAATAATTTATGAAATTAAAATGAAATGTTAAATAGTAAATTTAGTAAATAAATACAGACATATAAACAAATAAGAAAATTAAAAATTCAGTAACAACATTTACTCACTTTCATTTATTAAGCATTAAATTACATTACATAGCATCCTTCATAGTTTACCTTGACTTTCACAATTAGCCATGAGAATGTTTTTGAACATTCTTAAATTTATTTTATTTAAATTTTGAAAAACTGACAATATCTTTACTTCAGTTTATAAATACATGTTGCAAAGTAAAATCCTTACATTTACCCTGATTTTATAAACTCTGGTTATATATATATATATATATATTCGACTCTCTTGTCAAATTCAACGTATGAGGGTCAAGCAGATCAGTTTCTAGGAAACTGACAGCCTGACAACAGCACATGAGATATGATTATAGTGGTGAAGGTTTCGTGCAGGACCATCCACACTTTTTGAAGGGCCGAATACAGAGACCTGGTGCACTACGTGCCACAAAGTCCCCAAACAACCCTCCGCAGGTTTTGAATTCAGAGTTGTCCTTCTCCTAGACCAGTTGCCATCCAAGGCTATAGAACCCAGTCTGTCCTGCTATTTACCCATAGCTGGAGGGAGAAGAAGAGGATTCACACCTTTTCCAAGGGTATTAGACTGGAATTCAAACTAGGCTCTCTGATTCATCAATCCAAGGCGCTATCCATTACTCCAACATGCCTCCTTATATATATATATATATATATATTTATATATATATATATATATATATATATATATATATATATAAAAAATGAGTTTGTTGCAAAAGATTTTGACCACAGCAAAAAACTCTTCCATTAAAAAACAGTTTGTTATTAAGTCAAATTCTGGAAAGTTCACTGGACCGTAACGACAGAATTTTCATTGTTTCTATATTAGTGTGTGTGCGCACGAACACACGTGGTTGTGTGTGTGTTTGTGGATTTGAAGATGTCTGTTCATTTTATATGTGAGTTTGAATGCATGTATATGTGTTTATGCATATGCAGACATGTGTGCTTGCATGTGTAAATATGTTGTGTGCAAGTGTTTATACTTGAATATATGCTGATGGGTGTAAACAAGTCTTTATTTACCTTAGCCAATAATGAAATCCATTTCATTGCACCCGCTCCATCCCACTAAGAAAAAGAAGCAGCACTTGATGGCACCCCCACCACTGGAGAAAGAAAAAAAAAGGAAAAGAAAAATGACAGTGGAAAAGAAGTCGTAAGTGTCGATTTTTAAGTAATTATCGTAATGTTCTTTCTTTTTATGGGATTTCTTTTTCCCATCAAGCCCCACTCCCCTCCCCCAAGAAAATGCTACTCTTCACTTAAACAAGAAGTTGATGGAAAACCTTCTTTTTTTTTTTTCTTCTGTTTATAAAGAGAAAGACAGAAAAAAAAGAATTAAGTCAGCAATCAAATAAAAGACATGCCCAAACTACGTAATCACGACTGATAAAAGCAGAGTCTTTTAATGACATCATTTCAATCAATCAAATTCTCAAGGAAACTGAAAAGCTTGCTGAAGGAAGTCGTGTACACGTTTTTGGCTTTTGATATGGATATCTTTCTACTTTTCTTTTAATAATTCTTATTCCTCTCCTTTCTCTTCAATCTCTAAATGAGACGAACAGTGGGGGGGGTGAACACATCCACCCCACACATACTAACCTCTACACTGGTGGGAGTGGGTGTGAAAGGTAGGAACTTTGGTGTTGATTGTTGGTGAAAGGAGTTGTAAATTTAGGTGAAACATTACATTTTGTGCTGGTTTTTTTTTTTTTCGTAAAGCGAGATTTGTAAAGCTCAGCAAATGAGAGACAATTTTTTTTTTTTAAAAAAAAAAACCTGTTCCCCATTCACTCATATCATTCCATTTATTTGAAAAAAATATTCCCTAAAAATGGCTTTTAGGATTTGGAGATCAAGAAAGAAAGAAAGAGAAAGGAAACAAGAAAAAGTCATTGAAAGAAAGAAATAAACAAACAAACAAAAAAGGAGAGTCAATTGCAAGTGAAATAAAGAAAAAGAGAGAGAGAGAGAGAGAGAAATAGAGAGAAAAAAAGGAACAATATATAAAGAAAAACTGAAAAAGCCAAGCCAAAGGATGAGCAAGATAAATTTGAATAGACTAGTATCCTTATCTTTGTTGTGTTGTTCATCACATTGAGACTGATATATTCTCCAGCATTCCATATTTTTTTCAAGCATTGTCATCATTCCATAATGTTATTTGACTAATATCCTCAGCTTTGTCGTTTCAAAATAAAAGCATAAATAAAAGCAAGGTTCAAAATTGGAAAAAAAGCACATGCATAGTTGAACCCAGGATTAAAATATACTTTAATGAAAAAAAATGCAGTTTCAAATGCACTGTTTGGTAGAGAAATAATTCATCTCAGCTTCATTGAAATTGTAAGTGACAATTACCAGTCAGGTTGGAACTCTTTCACATTCGATTGATGTTTCTTCTTTTGGGTGCATTTTGATTTTGTGAGGATGGTAGTGGAATTATGTTTTGTTTACTGTAAGTTTGTTGCCTCAATACAAATAAAATGAAACAATAAAGGAGGAACAAGCAAAGCGAAACCAGAAATAATTTTGCTGATGAGTTGTCCCCAAATTATTATTCAAGTGATAAAGTTCAAATTGAAAATGGCAAATAAAACAACCGATCCAAAAACAGAATACTGAAATTAAATAAAAAACATAAAGGGAATATTCTTTTTTAATTTTACTTTCATTTAAAACAAAAAGAAAGAATAAGATCATGACATTTATGAATTAATGACACAGTGGTAACTTTATGGGTCATGTCAATCTAAATTAATTTTATTAATTACTATTTTATTATTTTTTTATTATTTTAATCAAAAGTTTTAATTTTTTGATTTAAATGAAAATTCTTGTAAAATCAATTTTGATTATTTATTAGTTCTTATAACACACTGTGCAAATGGTACATATTCTCCTACAGGACATAGGTGATCATGGCTCTCCACAACTTCTTATCATTTGAAGTTCTTAACAATATCATTTTAAATATCTCTCTCACTCCCTGTTCAACTATCTGTTTACACATGCTCATTAAGTAGGTTACTCAATGTTTCCTTCATACCCTTGAATTTGCTAAGCCTTCTTTTACTCAAACTAAAAGTGGCCCCAGGTGGTAGAAGGGCACAGGAATTTCCTAGGATCTCAGAGAATTCTTACATAGATCAAAGAATAGGACTCATATTTTATGCAAGCCTGCATAGATTTATATGTTTGCTCTTTGCAGATCCAGAATTGAAGTAGGGATTATGTGAATCATAATAGGCCTCTGTTTCAATTTCTGCCATTGCAGTTAATGGGAGAATATTATGTAATATTGGAGAATTAATGGTGAAGGGAAAGGACCCCAAAAGACCATTTTTTTTTTATCTATTGGAATTCTTCTCATTGATAATCTAAATGGATGATGAGGCAATAGTTTGTTGCTCATAAAGCTCAATAGTTATATCTATATCATGTTGAAATATGGTTCTTGTATGATCAGCAAAGTTAAGCAACATCAAACCTGTTCATTAACTAGATGGGTGACCACTTAGAACTATCAGGTGCTGCAAGCTTGAATGTGCAGTTGGTGCAATGTTCATCATGCCATGAGATGAGTCAGGTAACACTTTAGGGTCGTAGGTGCACCACATGTACTGTAGCCATAACAGAAATGATGTGCCTAGGGCAAGATCACCTGACAGAGCCCATCTCTCTTCAGGTTGTTTTTAAATTCAGAGTTTTCATTCTCCAAGACTAGAATTGATAATGGCTTGGAACTGGAAATCAGAGAGCCGAGTTCTAATTCCATTTGGGTTCATTATATTCACTAATGCACAAATACCCTTGAGAAAGGCATGAACCCACATATTTTTCCCCCATCTACGGATTAATTAGCAAGACTTGTATCTGTAAATTATTATTATCACCAAAACATTTAAAATATATTTTCTGGCATTAAATAACCTGCAAAAGGTTGATAAACCATAAAAACAAATCAAGTACGAATTACATAGCATTTTTATTTTGTTCTGTGTTATTATATATACCTTGTAGGAAATTATTCTTGTGTATACATCAACCTAACATTTATAAGTGCCTCCTCACATAAAAGGAAGATGCAACTGAAGCAACATTTAAAATTTGATTCACAATAGATTAAAGAAAAGAATGCTAAGGATTTAGGTCAGGAATGTAGATACACAGAATACATACAATTATATCTGGTAAACTTTCCTATCATGAACGATAAATGAGTATCAGCATTGGCTGGGGCTTTTCGTTTTACACTTATGCTAGCATTATGCATGCTAGCTTTGGCTATTGTAGAGAAAACCAGGTAAGGGAAAGACATTTCATTTGTGCTTTCTTAAATGGGATACTATCCCAGCCTTACTGCGAGGAACAAAGCCACACTGACAGATGAAATTTGTTAAAGCAGGATTTTGATGGCATCGCTGTTTCAGATTTTGATGAAGCTGATCATGGTCTACTGTCTTCAAAACCCTTTAACAATGGGACATATCTGACATCACTCCTTTCGGTTTGATGCTTGGACTTCCCAGGTTTTCAGATCAAAGTTAAGACATTTCAAGTTGTCTTTCAATTTGATTTTTATAGGATTAGAGTGGACGTCCAACTGAATGCTTGGAGTATGATAGTTTTCCACACAGCACCTTTTTTTTGAAACCTATCCACATCCATTCTCACAACATGACCAGCCCACCTAAGTTGTATCTTTGCTAGAATGGTTTCAGTGCTTGTGATGTTGTTATATTTCTTCAGTATTGCACTATTCTTGACCCTGTCATTCCATTTTATATCACATATGGCAATTATATATATATATATATATATATATATATATATATATATATTAATCAGTTTTGCTCCAAACAAGTCAGTAAAGGCACTAAGACACAAAAGGTAACAGGATATGGAAGAATTAGAAGCAGAAACATTAATAATGAGTGACAAGAGAAAAGAGTAATCAAGAGGACAGTAGATAGCAATTGACATTGTAATTATATATTTGAAGATGAAGTTGGCTGGAAACCTTGGAGATGGAAGGGTGCTCCACAAGTGAGAAGTCTGAGAAAAGAAGCTGTTAGCATAGACTTTATGTCTACATCTAGCTAGCTCAAATGTAAATTGATGAGATTTCAATGGCAGTCTAGTACTCTGCTTAAATTTAAAAAGTCTAGGTACAATAGCAAAAGGCTCATCAGATTAATTGCCATGAAAGTATTTACCAAAATGGCACAGAAAGGTAACTTTATGGTGGTGGGAAAGTGACTGAAGATGAGCCGACAGATCAGAACTGATAATATTGCTGATTCTTCATTGAATTTTATCAAAGAGCTCAAGGTAAATAGCAGGGGCACCGAACCATATGTGGCGGCAATATTCTAAGCATGGACAAATGGTAGACTTATAGATATGTGTGACAGATTCTGGAGAGAAAAATTGTCTTGCACAACACAGTGAACTAACTTTATTGGTAGCTATATATATATATATATATATATAGTTAAATTCCCAGATGAATTCTGTGGACAAGACAGATTGGTATCAAATGATTGGAAAAAAAATTATTTTGCCGACGCATTTTAGTCTTCCGACTTTTTCAAGGCAAAAATGAAATCGAAATGTTTTTGTTGTTATAGTTACATTAAAATTCAAAATTAAAAGATAGACGTTTGTGTCTAAGTTTTTCTGGTTAATGTAAATAATAATCCCTTACTATAAAGGTAATTTACATTAACCAGAAAAAAAAGCTTAGACATAAGTGTCTATCTTTTTAATTTTTAATTTTAATGTAACTATAACAATAAAAACATTTCAATTTCATTTTTGCCTTTGAAAAGTCGGAAGACAAAACGCGTCGGCAAAATGTAAGATTTTTTTTTCCAATTGTCATTTGATACCATATATATATATATGTATTAAAATCACCAGAAAAGAACATAATTGCTTCCTTATTTGTGATAAAACTTTATATAAAGTTATAAATAATCAATGAAGACAAAAAATGATGCGTAATATTTTTATATTGCAAAATCCAAGTGTCTCTGAAACACAACATGTCTTTGTATTTTTGCTGTCATAGAAATAGAGTCAGGTTAGCTTTCCTGTTCATTTCTATAACTATCTTTTGCAAGGATTTTTTTGCACTGGATATTATGACATGCTGGGTGCCACACTGAGATTTATATTGCATGAGTTAGAATGTAAATTGTCATGGTACGGTTTTTCCGGTGGACATTTTCTTGCCACAGAACTGCAGTCTTTGCCAAAGCAATACATCACACTGCATAACACACCACTTTATTTTTCTTCAAACGTTTTTCTTTTCTCCTTAAACGTCTTTCATTTTCTTTTCCTTATTCTTTTAACTTTCCCCACTGCTCGATGGAATCCTTTAAAAAACATAACCCCAAAAGATGCAGATAGACGATGCCATTTATTTAATTGTCTTTCTTTTTATTCTGACAAATTCCTCCTCCCTGAAAAAGAAATGGGAAGCTGCAGGTGGAATACAAACTCATCTGAGATGAAGATAAATCTCTGCATCAGGATGGGGAAGGAAAACGAGAGTATTTAGTGCCAGACACAGAGACTTTCCATGAATATAAAAATGCAGATTTCTGAAATTTTCCATTTTTTTTTTTTTTTGCTTTGAGATGAAAATCCTTGCAGAAGTAATTTATTAGGATTAATTCCAGATTTTTGGAAATCTCATGAATCTGAACTAACTTACCATTTTTATGATGATGCAATAAACAATCGGCATATAAGCACCTCTTAATTGTACAAGAAAGAGAAATCTGCAATCAGAGTTCAAATTCTGTTTGAGTTACTTATATTCACTTTTACATTAATACCCTTGGGAAATATATGAACTTGTCTCTTCTCTCCTCATATATGGGTTAAATAGTTAGTCTGACTGGACTCTCTTGCATTGATGTAGATACCAATCTAGAAGAAAGAAATTCAAACCAACCTGAATATGTATAGGCTCTGTCAGGCTATCTTGCCATAGGCATTATA